TGAGGCTTTTTAGGTCTAGATCCTTGTGAAATTGTGATGAATGCTAAGGACCCTCTCCATGCTAATGTGCATATGGTCACAAAACTCTGCATATTATTTCAGGGAGTCAAGCCACCCCAGCCCTTGGACCCCAGGTTAAGAACCACAGCTAACACAAAACAAAGTTGCTTTTGTACCTATTTGGAAATCCTCTTACTAACTTTTTTATATCTAACAGGCTTTCTCCTGGCTTAATTTTCTGTTTTATTTTTTTATTTTTTGAGACAGAGTCTCCCTCTGTTACCCAGGCTGGAGTGCAGTGGTGCAATCTTGGCTCACTGCAACCTCTACCTCCTGGGTTCAAGTTATTCTCCTGCCTCAGCCTCCTGAGTAGCTGAGATTACAGATATGCACCACCACACCCGGCTAATTTTTGCATTTTTAGTTGAGACGGGGTTACGCCATGTTGGGCAGGCTGGTCTCAAACTCCTGACCTCAAGAGATCTACCCATCTCGGCCTCCCAAACTGCTGGGATTACAGGCATGAACCACCACACCCAGCCAATTTCCCATTTCTAGATGAAACAATGTTCAATTGCACCAATACTCAAAGATAGACAAATTCAAGTTAGATGAAGGTGTTATTTTGTACCTTTATAACAACAAACAACTATAAAGAAAAGACTCAAAAATCAAGTGCTGGCCAGGTGCAGTGGCAGACACCTGTAATCCTACCACTTTGCAAGACAGAGGCAGATGGATCTCTTGAGCTCAGGAGTTCAAGACCAGCCTGGGCAACATGATGAAATACCATCTCTACAAAAAATACAAAACATTAGCCAGGCACAGTTATGCACAAGTATAGTCGCAGCTACTCAGGAGACTGAGGTGAAAGGCTAGTTTAAGCCTGGGAGGTCGAGGCTGCAGTGAGCCATGATCACACCACTGCACTCCAGCCTGGGCAACAGAGCAAGACCCTGTCTCAGAAAAAAAAGTGCCGGGAGGGTTGTATTCCTGTTGCTGCTTCAATGGTACCTGTATCCACCACCATTAGGAATTTGGCAACACACAGGAGAGACTGATGAAAACGCCCATAAGCTTTTGACCTGGTAATTCTACTCCTCGAATTTATTCCAAGAAAATAATTTAGATGGAAATAAAAGCCACATGTAGACAGATATTTATAATAAACTTTTCTCTAAGAGCAAGAAAAAAATGTTTTTAAAAATTGGGAAATTATAAGTAAATATGGTCATTACCTTAATGGAACATATAAAATAATGAAAAGTGTTAAAATAACATTCAGGGAAAAAATGGAACACAGAAATTAACATGACGATAATTGTCAATTTTGGGGTGATAGGGTGGGAATGCCCAGGAAACTTTCAATTCCATTTCTAGTGCTTCGCTTTAAAAAGTGAAAAGCCAAATCAGAACAAAAGCAGCTCAGAGAGAAGACATAAGGGATCAAAGGATCACTCAAAACAAAATGAAACAAAACACTATAAATAATATCCTCTGTGAAATATAAAAAGATGTGCATCCATGAATGAGAAACAGACGAGGATGGTGGATAATCAGCAAACATGAAAGAAGGCTGGGCGTGTCAGCTCACGCCTATAATTCCAGCACTTTGGGAAGCTGAGGGGGGGTGGATCACCTGAGATTGGGAGTTCGAGACCAGCCTGGCCAACATGGTGAAACCCCACCTCTATGAAAAATACAAAAAGTAGCTAGCTGTGGTGGCATACACCTGTAATCCCAGCTACTGTGAGGCTAAGGCAGAAAAATTGCTCAAAACCAGGAGGAGGAGGTTGCAGTGAACCAAGATCATGCCACTGCCTCCAGCCTGGTAAAGAGAGCAAGACTCCATCTCAAAAAAAAAAAAGAAAGAAAGAAAGAAAGAAAAAGAAAACATGAAACATGAAAGGGTTGAGATGGAGTTATAACAACTGAAGTAGTAAATTCCACAGTAACTCTGGAAGATAAAGTAGGATAACTATCCAGAAAATGGAACAAAAATAGATAGGAAATGGGAGAAAAGATGACCAATCCAAAAGACCCAGTATCTACCTACTAGGAGTCCACTAAGAGACCACAGAGACCGCCTCCAGGACGGAGAGTGTAACTGGCCAAGCCAAAGGCTTGTGCTCGATCCACAGCTAGGTAGGAAACGGAGGATCTGGCCCATTTGGGTCTATAAGGAAAGGGCACTGTCTCCCCCTACAACCCAGGAGTATGGTCCCCCAAAAGGAAAGGTAATAGGTGCTCCTAGAAAGTGAGGGTTAGATGATATACAACCAAAAGCTACCACTGTCCCCTGCACAGGAGCCTCTGTTGATTCCTAGTAACCACACCTCCTGTAACTACTCAACGAGCACTTTAAGATTTCTGCATCCTATCAAACGCAAAGCCTCCCTCTCTAGGCCTGTTGTGCGTTATCGTAGCTGAGATGTATTGTGCACATCCTACACGACAGTTGTTTCTCATGCATTATCTCATTAAAGCCTTACAACAAAGCAAAGAAGAAAATGATCTTAATAACCCCAATTATAAATCAGGACACTACTGCCCAGAGAGGTTAAGAAGCATGCCCAGGTTCACTCAGCTAATACAGAGGAAAGCCAGGATTTGGGCCTAGTAACCTGACCCTGGAGCTTGCGTCCTTATGCCACAGGACTTGATGTACCTCTCCCAGGAGGCTGCTCAGTGCCCCCGGTGACCCCAATGCCTTACTGCATTCTGGACTCCAAAGAAGACCTAAGGTAGTCAAGTGGCCATGAGAGCCTCCATCGAGCCACACACCCTGCCTGAGCTTTCTGCATGCAGCCCAGCACAGGGCTCAGAGAGCCCCTGGCATGCTTGGTCACCCTAGGAGGTCCATCAGCCCTCCCAAGTCACAGGGTGCTGGGAGGAGCCACTAGATCTCAGGCCTCCTTCGCATCTCATACCTCATTCAGGGGCTGCCCACGGGCTGGCTCTGGCTGTAGAACTGGAGCCCCTGCTCCTTCCTATCTGGAGCAATGAACCAAGGGGATGCCTTTAAGGTACTTGAGCCCTATAGGTGAGATGCACTGTGCAAAAGGCAGATCGACTAGAGAAAAGGCACACACATTTACTTGATGTTTATACACAGGAGCCTTCAGAATGAAAAAACAAAGATAATGGAGAAATTGGCCTACTAATGCTTAGGATTAACGAAATACGAATAGCTATGTAGAAATGCGATTGGATGAAAAAGGGTACGATCTCATGCGAACAGATTGAGTTGGGAAATTCAGCGAGGCCTGTCTAGATTCTTGGCCTCTTTGCACTGCGTCCCTTCCTTCTGTGTGTGGGGCAGGACTTTCTCTGGAAGAGGGTCTTAAGACCTACAGTAAAACAACATAAAAGTCAGATCATTTCTTTATGGCCAGTTTTTACACAGAAAGGCAGAAGGAAAACAAGAGCGTGTGTGTGTGTATTTTTTTTTTTAGATGGAGTTTTGCTCTTGTTGCCCAGACTGGAGTGCAATGGCACCATCTCAGCTCACTGCAAACTCCACCTCCAGGTTCAAGCTATTCTCCTGCCTCAGCCTCCTGAGTAGCTGGGATTACAGGCATGAGCCACCACACCTGGCTAATTTTGTATTTTTAGTAGAGACAGGGTTTCTCCATGTTGGTCAGGCTGGTCTCAAACTCCCAACCTCAGGTGATCTGCCTGCCTCGGCCTCCCAAAGTGCTGGGATTATAGGCGTGAACCACGGTACCTGGCCCACAGTAATATTTTTAGGATTTATGACTGGCTTTGGGGAAAAGAGACAGTCTCAAGGACAGAGAGTGTAACTAGCCAAGCCAAAGGCATGTGCCCAATCCACAGCTAGGATTTTCTATGCCCCCCATTTGGAGAAGAGGGATTCTAGTTTCTATGGCTAGACTAGGGGAGAATGGGCCTGAGAGACAGGAGGGCAAACATGCAGAGAAAAGCTTTTAACTTCTGAGGCTTTCATTTTAGGGTCCTGTTTTCTGAGTCCCAACAATTGGAAGCCAGAGAAAGCAGAACTGTGGGTACTTTTGAGAACCCAGGCAGCTGGCTCTTCCCCCAGCCAGCATAGTCAGCCCCAGAGCCCCATCTGCATGACAGCAGCAGGGTTAGCCTATCTGGGCTGGTGGAAGGTTCTGTGGGCCCAGCTGTGTCAGGTGAAGACCTGTCTGGGCACCTCTTCAACCATTTATCTGTTGTGCCTTCTTCCCCCTTGCTCCTGCCTTTTGAAAGCTGACCTGGACACAGAAGCTCTCCCATTTAGGAGGCCTTAATTCCATCTCCATTTAATGCGAGATGTCTTGAATTGGGTCCCAATCTTAGGCCACAAATTCGGGTGTGCAGAAAACAAACTGTTTTTATTTTCTTTTTTGAGACAGAGTTTTGCTTTGTCGCCCAAGCTGGCATGCAGTGGCACAATCTCGGCTCACTGCAGCCTCTGCCTCCCAGGTTCAAGTGATTCTCCTGCCTCAGCCTCCCGAGTAGCTGGGATTACAGGTGCCCACCACCACACCTGGCTAATTTTTGTATTTTTAGTAGAGACGAGGTTTCGCTATGTTGGCCAGGCTGGTCTCAAACTCCTGACCTCAGATGATCTGTCTGCCTCGGCCTCCCAAAGTGCTGGGATTACAGGCATGAGCCACCACGCCTAGACTACAAATCGTTTTTCTGTCACAGAGTTTAATTCTATTTTGATTCCTATCCTGCCAATGTGGCAGAAATGTAATCTCTGTTGATTTAGAATTTACCACGCCCTGAACCTAAGTGTTGTCAAAGTCCCACTGAGCTCTGGGAGATGGGGTCTTTATTGTCTTTTGTCACACAGGTGTCTGGAGGATGCCACCTACTGTCACTTACTTTGTGCCCCACACAACTGCAGACCAGTATTCAAAGGCTGCGTAGTTTGCTATCACCGCCGTAAACAAATTACCACAAATCTAATGGCTCAACACAACACAAGCTTATCTCCCAGTTTCTGTAGAAGTGCAACACGGTCTTACCAGGTGTTGGTTGTGCTGAGCGTATAACTGGCAACTCTAGGAAAGAATCCTCTTCCAAGCTCGTTCAGGTTGCTGGCTCCGAAAAGTTGTTTGTGGGTAAACTTGCTGGCTGGCAGCCAGGGTCACCCTTAGCTCCTTAGCTTAGGTCCTTACACATCCACAAGGTGTCAGAGGCTTCTCACACATCACAGACTTGGCCTTCTGCGGCATCGCTCTGACTCTTCCGACCTTCCTCTTCTGCTTGGTTACATCGGGCCCACCTGGACGTGCTGGGTTATCTCCCTATTTTAAGTTCAGCTGATTAGCAACCTTCATTCCATCTGCAAAGCTGTTTCCCAGCAGAACCTAAATTCGTATTTGATTGACCAAATAAGAAACTGGAGAAGGGGGAGTACTTTAGAGTTTTGCCTCCAGCAGAGGCCCCCGTGTGAGCACATCCCTGGAGGTGTGCAGGGCAGCTGCCATCACTCCCCTCTCAGCCCAGTCACCAGACAGATGCCCTGTCAAAGTCATGGTCCTTTTAAGGCTGGAGGTTTGCTGCCCCTACTGCGGCTGTCTTGGGAAGGAACTGGTTCTGTTCTGAACCATGCTGGAATGGGAACCTCTAGAAGGCAAGGTCTCTTCTGCCTCAACACACACACAGCCATTTCCTCTCTGGGATGTCCCAGGGCTCCTTCTACGTTGCAGGAAACAGGACACTCTGCCCCCTGTTTCCCAGGGACCCCCATCTCTGGACTGTCATTGCCTTCCCTCTTCTTCTCACCACCAAGGAAATCACCTTCTCATCAAACCTCCCAGATGCCAAATATTTTGGCTAGATCTGGTGTCTATCCGTTCTGGAGTGGCTTTGGGCTTTTCTGCCCAATCCAGGGGCTAGTCCTGCCTTCCTGTCTGTCACATTCCATACCTGAGGCCAGGAGCCAGGAAGTCACCTGCTGGGAGTTGGAGGCGACAGGGAGTTGGAGAATGGCAAAGTGGGGTTAGTACTGCAATCCTGTTTTCCTGCCACTCTCCTGACATGCTCTGTTCTTTAAAATGTCCTCGGTACTTGGTCCATCCCAGGCCCCATCCTTGGCAACTAATCTGGGAGAAATGGGGCTCTTCGTCCAGCAACGTCTCCCTGCCGGGCAAGGAGGACTGTGGGCAGCTCTGAAGCTTCCACTCTTCCTTACAGGTTTTTTGCTCACTCTCCAGGGCCTAATTCAGGTGTCACCTCCCTGTGTTGCTTCTCCAACCCTTCAGGTAGCTGTGATCACTCTCCTCTGAGCCCCAGAGCACTTTCCCTAGTTCCTGAACAGGCCCTTCCACAGGACCCTCCCTGCATCGGAAGCCCACCCTCTTCCTCCAGGACCGCCTCCTCTTTCTAGTGCACAGTGTCTTCCCTTAGTAGTCTGTCCCTCTGGAGCCACTAAGGCTCTTCCCCTCCCACCTCAGCAATCCCTAGCACACATACAGCTGTGAGGGCTGCACCTGAGGATGGAGCAGGGGTGGGCACCCCAGTCTTAGAGGCTGTCATCATCAAAGTTCAAATGGGACATGTTCTGAGAAGGGTCTGCAGGGAGATCGAGTTTGCCACCCCAGGGAGAGCTAGGCTTCTGTGATGTCTCAAGCCCTGGGACCTAGAGGCAGCTTCCAGGAGCAGGCAGCCAGAAGGCCCTTTCCCTACCCCCTCAGCACTCAGAGAGGCCTACCCAGGATGCCCTCCCTGAACCCTAGAGTTTCTTGGGGATTACCCTGTTTGCACTGTGATGCCCTTTCAAGGTCATGGTGATACATGCTATGGCTGAGCAAGATTGTTCTCAGGATCAGATTGGAAGTTGAAAGACAGACTAAGTCACAGGAACCCTAGAGCTGGGTGAAGGCATAGCTGTGCCCCAGGCCCACCAGCAAGGACCACATTTATTAGGCTCAGCCTCCCATGCAAACAGTGCCAGAAAGTCTAAGAGAAGAAGGGGAACAGAGGAAGGGAGGGAAAGTCCTTTAAATCAGCATGGTTTCATTGAGCTTCTGTACCATGCAGGGGCCTGTAGGATTCAGAAGGGGGATATAATCCTAGTCCTTGCCCTCAGGAAGCTTATGATTTGTGTATAGCCCAAGAGTGAGCAGCAGGGTGAATAAAAAGTGGTGCAAGGGGAGAGTTACCACAGATGGTCTATCAGTTTGCTGAGGCCACCTGAAATAATAGAAAGTTACTGTCTTGGGATAGGGGAGGGATAGTATTAGAAGAAATACCTAATGTAAATAACCATGTACATAAACCACTATGGCACGTGTGTACCTATGTAACACACCTGCATGTACTGCATATGTACCCCAGAACTTAGGGTAATTAAAAAAAGTCACTGTCTTTACAGTTCTGGAGAGCTGGTTAGGAAATGAAGACGTCGGCAGGGCTGGTTCCTTCTGAGGGCTGTGAAGGGTCTGCCCCAGGCCTCCCTCCTTGGCTTGCAGACTCCATCTTACCCTTGTGTCTCTTCACATCATCTTCCCCCTACGAATGTCTGATGTCTGTCTTTGTGCCTAAATATCCCCCTTTTAAGGACACCAGTCATATCAGATAACAGCCCATCCTAATGACCTCATTTTAACTTTTTTACCTTTATAATGACCCTATTTTCAAACATAATCACATTGTGATGTACTAGGTGTTAGGGCTTGATATGGCTTGGCTTGTCCCCACCCAAATCTTATCTTGAACTGTAGCTCCCGTAATTCCCAAGTGTCATGGGAGGAACCCGGTGGACAGTAACTGAATCATAGGGTGAGTCCTTCCCGTGCTGCTCTTATGACAGTGAATAAATCTCATGAGATCTGATGGTTTTATTTATTTATTTATTTTTGAGACAGAGTTTCGCTCTTGTTACCCAGGCTGGAGCGCAATGGCGCGATCTCGGCTCATCGCAACCTCCGCCTCCTGGGTTCAGGCAATTCTCTTGCCTCAGTCTCCCAAGTAGCTGGGATTACAGGCACACGCCACCATGCCCAGCTAATTTTTTTGTATTTTTAGTAGAGACGGGGTTTCACCATGTTGACCAGGATGGTCTCGATCTCTTGACCTCGTGATCCACCCGCCTCGGCCTCCCAAAGTGCTGGGATTACAGGCGTGAACCACCGCGCCCGGTCGATCTGATTGTTTTATACATGGGAGTTCCCTTGTGCAAATTTTCTCTCTTGCTTGCTGCCATGTAAGATATGCCTTTCACCTTCTGCCATGATTGTGAGGCCTCCCCAGCCACGTGGAACTGTGAGTCCATTAAACCTCTTTTTCTTTATAAATAACCCTGTCTCAGATATGTCTTTATCAGCAGTCTTAAAACAAACTAATACAGGGATCCAAAATATCTTTTTTAGAAACACAATTCAACCCATAACCCATTTCTCCTTGAAAGAGGAGAATTTCCTTATTTATTTATTTATTTTTGAGACAGAGTCTCACTCTTGCTGCCCAGGCTGGAGTGCATTGGTGCCATCTCACTCACTGCAACCTCCACTTCCCAGGTTCAAGCAATTCTCCTGCCTCAGCCTCCTGTGTAGCTGGGATGATTACAGGCACCCACCACCACGCCCGGCTAATTTTTATATCTTTAGTAGAGACAGGGTTTCACCATGTTGGCCAGCCTGGCCTCGAACTCCTGACCTCAGGTGATCCGCCCACCTCTGCCTCCCAAAATGCTGGAATTACAGGAATGAGCCACTGCAACCAGCCAGAATTTCCCTTCTAAAAGGGCAGGTTCTCAGGCAGAGGTGAACACTGGGAGGTTTTGTACTTTGTGATTACTGAATAATTCCTCAGGGATGTCCTTCCAGATTTGAGGAACAAACAGACTAAGATAACACACAATCCGGAAAAATCAGATGCCTCCTGCTGCCCACCTAGATGGCTTAAGAGTCCAGGACATAGACAGAGGTGGGGGCAAGAAGACAGGTTCTGGGCCTGGGCTTTACACTCAAGAAAGGACTTTTAGACTTTTGATGTTATTTCCAAATGATGTTTGTTAAGGGCCAAGTTGTCTCCCTCCAAAATTTGTATGTTGAAGTCCTAACCCCCAGCAACTCATAATGTGACTGCATTTGGAGGATACGGTTAAGAGATCAGTCAGTTAAATGAGGTTGTGAGGGCAGGCTCTAATCCAATAAGGATGTCTCTATAAGAAGAAGAAAATTGGCACAGACACAGACACACACAGAGGGAAGGCCACATGAACACATGAGGAGAAGATGGTATCTGCAAGTCAAGGAGATGGGCCTCAGAAACCAACCCTGCCAACACCTTGATCCCTGGCTTCCAGCCTCCAGGACGGTGAGACAATAAATGTCTGTTTAAGCAACTCATCCTGCAGTACTTTGTTATGGCAGCCCTAGCAAACTAGTATAAAGTTCTATCCATGTTCACCCAGGATGTGTTTCAAAGCATTCCTTTTTAAAATGTACCATTTATTAAAAATATACTGTAACATTTTAACTTGTTTTGGCAATTTTTTTTTTCTTGAGACAGAATCTTGCTCTCTCACCTACACTGGAATGCAGTGGCACGATCTTGGCTCACTGCAACCTCTGCCTCCAGGGTTCAAGTGATTCTCCTGCCTTAGCCTCCTGAGTAGATAAGACTACATGCACCACCAGGCCTGGCTAATTTATATATATATATTTTTTAGAAAGTCGAGAGCTCACCATGTTGGCCAGGCTGGTCTTGAACTCCTGACCTCAAGTGATCCACTTGCCTTGGCCTCTCAAAGTGCCAACCACCTGCCTTGGCCTCCCAAAGTGGCATGAGCCACAAGCCATTGCACCTGGCTGGCATTTCTGCATTGTGAGTACATTGGGAACCACCCCACCCCTCAAAATAACAGTGGATCATCTTTGTCAATTATACCTTAATACAGCTGGGGAAAATTAATAAAATGGACTACCAAAAGAAAAAAGAAAGAAGGAAAGAAAAGAAAGTAGCTCAAGTTCTCTGTACCTTCCAGACGCCCCAATGAAGGACCTCAGCTGTGATGAGAAAACCCAGCTGCCCAATTCCTGGCAACTCTCCCAGGATCTGGAATGATGGTGTGCCTGGGCACAGCCTTCCTATCTGGCCTGAGAGCCAGCTGGCACCATTAGAGTGAGGAGAGGGCTCTGAGCTTTCCCAGTAGGCTGGCAATCTCCCAGGCTCCCTCCCCCAGCCCCTATAAAACCATCTGGAAAATGAAAGTAATTCCTTCTGCTTCCTACCAAGCTCCAGGGACCCTGCGAGGAACAGGGAGAGACTATCCCCATACCCTGCACGTTCCTAGCGAAGGTTGCCCTGGAATAAGCTATTGCTCACCCTTTCGCCCCAAGTGTCAGAAAAGAGGGCTGCTCGGTGCTCTGTCCAGGTGTTCTTGCCTCCCCTCAGGAGCCACTCCTGCTTCCATCCCACCAGATTGGAACGGGGCTTCCCACAGGCCCTCCACTCCGCAGCTCCTCAGCACTCTCCTCCTCCTCCCTGCTCCCCCAAGCTCAGCCCAGTCTGAGGTCCATCCCCCAGTGAGGGGAGCTGAGCAGTGCTGCACACTCAGTGCTGCTGAGTACCCTGGGGATTTGCTGAACTGCACATTCTTGTTCTGTAAGACAGAGCTGAGCTTCTGCACATCCAGCCTGCTCCCTGGCAATGCTGACGTTACTGGGCAGAGAGGAAAAGTGCTAGACAATGCAGCAGGGGGAAATTAACCAGGACTCCCAGGCAAGCTGCTCTACAGGTTTTGGAGGGAAGTGTGATGGGGGTTGGGGCGCAGAAGCTGGGTCTACCTGAGCGTCTGTCCAGGCACATCCACTCGCTCTTCAAGACGGCACTGGGCACACAGCCCCAGAGTCAAGGTGGCATTTAGCTGGGCCTTCTGTCTGGCACCAGAAATTACTCTTTAACTTGGGGTCCTGGGAGTCCATAGGTGAGCATAGCTCAATTTGGGGATGCACCTGAGAAACAAGGTCCCTCTCCCCAGATGGGCTTCTCTGCCCTGTCCCTCTCTCCACCAGGCCTGGCCAGGCCCCAGACTGAATTGTTCTAATTCCTTGCACTTTTCCTGGCAGGGTCTCCAGGCTCACGAAATCTGCTTCTTGCCAAAGGCAGAGGATCCCCTGGCAGCAGAGAGCACGGGCTGCAGTCAGGCAGGTGCAATCATTTTTTAATGACATCTTTCCCCACTTACTCATCAAAATTATGTGACTCACTTTAGAATATTTAGGAAATGTTGGAAAATATAAAGAAGGAAGTAATCCTGCAATCCTACAACTCAGAAATAATGATGTGTTAGCACTTTGAAAAATACCCTTCCAACCTTTCACATGCACAGGAACGGTCTATATACCATTTTGCACTGGACTCCCCAGCACCAAAAAGTTAACATTGTAGGAAAAGCATTTATCCATGTTGGTCATTCTTTGAAAGTATGATTTTTAGTCTGGGTGCAATAGCTCACACCTGTAATCCCAGCACTTTGGGAGGCCTAGGTGGGAGGTTCACTTGAACTCAGGAGTTTGAGAACAGCCTAGGCAACATAGTGAGACCCTATTTCTAAAAAAATAATAATAAATTGTTTTAATTAGCTGGACATGGTGGTGTGCATCTATATAGTCTCAGGTGCTCGGGAGGCTGAGGTGGGAGGATCAGTTCAGCCCAAGAGTTCAAGGCTGCAGTCAGCTGTGATCACACCACTGCCCTCCAGCCTGGGCAATAACATGACAGCCTGGGCAATAACATGAGATCATGTCTCAAAAGAAAAAAAAGTGTAATGGGCCAGGCACAGTGGCTCACGCCTGTAATCCCAGCACTTTGGGAGGATGAGGAGGGTAGCTCTCCTAAGGTCAGGAATTTGAGACCAGCGTGGCCAACACGGCAAAACCGTGTCTCTACTGAAAATAAAAAAACTAGCTGGGCATAGTGATGGGTGCCTGTAATACCAGCTACTTGGGAGGCTGAGGCATGAGAATCACTTGAACCCGGGAGGCGGAAGCTGCAGTGATCTGAGATCGCACCACCGCACTCCAGCCTGGGAAACAGAGCAAGACGCTGTCTGGAAAAAAAAAAAGTACAATATTTGTAATAGCTGCATAATAGTCTAATCCTATGGATTTTTTATCATTTACTTAACGCTTGCCCTATTTGGGGGCAATGAAGTTGTTTACCTCTTTTTCTAATATAAATAATTTTATTCTGGCTATGTTTTTATTGAAATTTCTAACTCTATAATCTCTTCTTTTTTCTTAGGTTTCCAGGATTGAGATATTGGAACAAAAGTTTAAATACTCTTAAAGTTCCTGATAGAATGTTGTTGAATTGTTTCCACAAAGCTTTAACAAATCCATCCCCTCTGGCAGTAGTGCCTGTTTCAGGAAATGATCAGCTTTATTTTTTTCCCATGTTGGTAGGTAAAACGAGTGTCATTTCTAGTCCACACTTTGCATGACTCAGTATGGCTGAACATTTTTTTCTAAGTGGCATAGCCATTCATGTTTCTTCTGTGACAGGTCTGGACATATCCTTGGTGCTCTCATTTTAAGGAGAGTGAGGATGGGTCACGAGGGGATATGCATTGTATTAGTCCATTTTCACACTGCTGATGAAGACATAACTGAGACCGGGAAGGAAAAGAGGTTCAAATGGGCTTATGGTTCCATGTGGCTGGGGAGGCCTCAGAATCATGGCAGGAGGCAAAAGGTACTCCTTATATGGCAGCAGCAAGAGAAAAAGAGGGAGAAGCAAAAACAGAAACCCTTAATAAACCTATCAGATCTCATGAGACTTATTCACTATCTCGAGAATAGCATGAGAAAGACCTGCCCCCATGATTCAATTACCTCAGCCTGGATCCCTCCCACAACACATAGAAATTCTGGGAGGTACAGTTACTGGGCATTGAGATTTGGATGGGGGCACAGCCCAACCATATCATGCATCACCACCTGACAGCACCCACCCATAACATCTGCCATGCTGTTCCCCCATGCCTGTGAGCGAGGCACCCCAAGCCTGGTGCCTATGCTGCCAGACTCTGGGTACTTCCACTCACTCTCCCATCTCCGGGTGCCCTCATGATAACCCAATGTTCCCAGGATTCTTCCTTCAATTAACAATGACCTGCCCGAGCCCCCATTTCTTCCGCACCGTCTCCATGCAAAGTTACAAGGAGTGGACTCAAACAAACAAATGAAAGCTAAACATCTCCACCTAATCAAAATGTTGGCCATCTCTGTTTGTCTGTTTTCATATTGCTATAAAGACTACCTGAGACTGGGTAATTTATAAAGAAAAGAGGTTTGACTCACAGTTCTACATGTCTGGGGAGGCCTCAGGAAAATTACAATCATGGCAAAAGGTGAAGGAGAAGTAAGGCACATCTTACATGGCAGCAGAGAGTGAGGGCATGCAGAAGAAACTGCCACTCTTTTTTTTTTTTCAAGATGGGGTTTCACCATGTTGGCCAGGCTGGTCTCAAACTCCTGACCTCAGGTGATCCGCCCACCTTGGCCTCCCAAAAGGCTTAGGATTACAGGCTTGAGCCACCACACCCAGCAGAAACTGCCACTCTTAAACCATCAGATCATGGCCAGGTGTGGTGGCTCACACCTGTATTCCCAGCACATTGGGAGATCGAGGCAGGCAGATCACTTGAGATCAGGAGTTAGAGACCAGCCTGGCCAACACGGTGAAACCCCCATCCTCACTAAAAATACAAAAATTAGCAGGCATGGTGGCACATGCCTGTAACCCCAGCTACTTAGGAGGCTGAGGCAAGAGAATTGCTTGACATCTGGGAGGTAGAGGTTGCAGTGAGCCAAGATCATGCCACTATACTGCAGCCTGGGCAACAGAGCGGTACTCCAATTCAAAAAAAAAAAAAATGAGATCTTGTGAGAATTCCCTCACTATCGCAAGAACAGCGCAAGGGAAACCACCCCCATGATCTAATCACTCCCACCAGATCCCTCCCTCAACATGGAAGGATTAAAATTTGAGATGACATTTGGGTGGGGATTCAGAGCCAAACCATATCACCATCCACAAAAGCTTTTTGACAAATAACTCTGACTAGGAATTGTAAGAAATGTTTTTAAATGAGTAAGGTGGAAGCAAACATTATGCCCATTTTATAGACAAGAAAAGTATGTCTCTGGAGCTGTGACACTCCACAAACCAGGGAAGAAGCAGAGACAATGACTGATTTTCTGCCTCCCAATCCAGTTGCCCAACCCTCCTGGCTCCATGCCAGGAATTCCCTGTTTCTGATTAGGGAAAGTGGAGCCACCTACTCCCTACAAGCAACTATTACACACCCAGTGTCCCAGAAATAAATAACCCTCCACTATGGGGACTGCTTTTACTGACATCATTTTTAGCAGACGTTTTACTATAAAAATGGGGTGGAGAGACATAAAGTAGATAAACTGCTTCCAACAATCCTTGCTGCTAGGGTGAAACTGGGGGTATACGGTATAGCCCAAATGCACCCCAGGTCCAGCCCGAGCTTGCTCCATACCCAACCCAGGAATCAGACCTATCATCATCCAAGGTTGTCCTCTCCAATGATCTTAGCACGTTCAGAATAACCCTCTAATAGTCCTCATTTATTGTAGTTGCTTATTATGAACCCACCAACCATTCATTCAATCTTATTGAATTCTCAGTTTTCAGTATATTTCTCTTCAGGCTGTGGTACATATCACACCATATAGTAATTATTTGCTATTTTCTGCTTCCCCATCTAGACTTTGAATAAGCTGAGGGTAGAATTTGTTCTTTTTCTTAGAATTTATTCTTAGAATTTGACAAATAGTAGATACTCTTAGTCACAACTTGGTTGAAGGAAGGACTCAATGAATAAAAATGTCCCGAGTTTACTGTTTCTGCATAAAAGACTGTAGATGTTTGCTGTTTTACATTTTCTTCTTTTAAGGTCTAATATCGTACGTTGATGTTTGGTAAATGGAATTTCAATCCCAGTGGCACCCCCGAAGGCCAGGCAGGAGTACTGCAAAAAGCAGAAATGGAGGTCGAGGGCAGTTGCCCTCTGCAAGCAAGACCACTTAGAACTCTCCAGTGGCTCTTTGACAAACCTTCAGTGGGATTTCTGTCAAAGCTGACAGAAATTAAAGACTTTAATTTAAATTAAGTCTTTAATTTCTGTCCTTAATGAGTTGGTCACAAAGTTAATTCAACATTGAAAGGGATAGAATATGTTAATTCCACACACACATGAAAGAAATCAACAATCAGGGCTCATCTGGGAAAACCATGATGGGGAAGGCTGGGGCTGATGGATGAGGGGTGTGGGGCAGGGCAGAAAGCCTCCACACTGCTGCAGCAATGCAAACAGAGGCACCTTGCCTTCGGCCTCTCTGGCACTCCATCTTGTCTCTCCTCCCTGGAGAAAAGCAAGCTGTATTCAATCACCTTTTCAATGCTAAAACCAGGCTTTCCTGTCAGAGTTAGGGCC